TTTTTTTTTTTTTTTTTTTTTTTTTGGTACTGGGGATCAAACTCAAATCCTTGCACTGGTAAGACAGGCGGTAGAACCACAAACCTAGATCCCCGTCCCTAGCCAAGATCATTTTTGCTGTGTATGCATGTGTGCATGTGTTATGGGCACATGCAAATGCAGTCAAACCTAGGGTCTAGGCATAACCGTAAGTTCTGCCGCTGAGCTGCACATGTAGCCTAAGACCATTGTTTCTATGTTATTTGATATCTGCTTGCTTGCTGCCATCTTCTGACAAAAAGAAACCCAAATATATATGTATGTATATCTGTATTCAATATTCCAGATTATAGGAATGAAGAACTGTTGCCTAATTGGAAAGTGCCAGCATTCCAGACTTCAAAAAATAAATCCGAAGAGGCTTCTCCTGTTTTATATATTATGTGAAGAATTTAGATATTATATTGGTTTGCACAAGTTCCCTGGAGAAAAAAATTGCTCTGTGTATATCTCTTGGAAAGTAAGACAATAGCATTTCTCCTTTGCAATAGCAGTTATAACAGATGTGAAAATAAGTATACTTGACTCTAATACAATTACACAAAAGAGCATGGATGCATTTCAAGTGTTAGATATTGCTACTATAATCAGATGATTTCATATTGACCTTTTTACCATGATTCCTCCCTGTCAATCACTAAAAAGTTGAACCATTATACTTTATATCTGTAATGATATCAATTATGAAATTTCTCCTCAATTCATTGCAGCAGATAACTTTTTTGAGTCATTGACTTCATTTTATATTTAAAAATTATGAAATATCATCTGTCATTCTAATTAAAATTGTTCATAATGCTTTGGAAAAATGGGTCTTTTATAGGAAAAAACTGGGATAACTGATTTCTATGGCTTTCAAAGCTAAAATATATAATATACTAAACCAACTCTAATATTGCTTCTTGTGTTTTACTGTCAGATTAAATTACAGCTTTTATGGATGATTAAATTTTAGTACATTTTCATTTGGTTTGTGTGTTTTTGTTATTGTTTATAGATCTAAAGCCTTTATTTTATAATGACCGCATTGTTTTAAGTGCAACAGTAGCTCCTTTTTACCTGATAATCTGCAGAACAGTTGGCTTTAAACTATACTAACTGGTGATTTCTTTAAGAACAGACTTTCTACTTTTTGTTCTAGATATATTTATTCCTACTATACAGTAAAATACGCCAGACTACATAGAATAATTTTGTATATTCTTTCTGAATCTTAAAGATTGTATCTTATTGAATAAAATATCCCATTGTGTATTATTTTTATATGTAAAAAGATAAGTTTAATACTGTATCAGGGTTTAACTTTTACTATTTCAATCTTCCACAGCTTGCAATTTCACTAAGGATATCCTTTTGCCATTGTTAATTTGCTAGGTGTGGGTCCACCATTGAGGTATTATCTGTAAATTTTCAAACTTGCTTTATAATAGTTTGAAGAATTTGAGAGAAGTGAGCAAAAGTTAAAACACATAAAAGGGATGTTAGTAACTTTTGCTCCCAGAACTACATAAGAAGTAATATAGCACTAGTAATATGCAGGAGCTAAATTTTTAGCTGGCTATCTAGTGGTGCTTTGCTTCCCTTCCATTTTTACAAAAGATAGGGCTTAAGTAGGACATGGATCTGGGGTGATATTTATTTGTTCTCCATAAAGCAAGGTAGAGCAAACAGTTTGTTAGCCAGTTAAGTGCTAGAGAAGAAAAGAAACAAGCTTAGGAAACCCTGTGCCTTGTCCCCAAACATCAAGGAGAAGACCAGTCCTAGGAAGTCTAAATCAGTGCTCAGGGATCTAGATACTGTCTCGTTGAAGCTTGATGTGAAGTATTCATGTGGTCAGCCTGTCAGTTACTAAATTGAAACTTAAAAGTCAGCTATCAAATATAAGCTCTGACCGACTGAGAAGATGTTTAAAATACTGTTTTAAAAATTGGAAATTGTATTACTTTGGGTTTCTAATAAACTTAGTTACCTAACACTTCCCTTCTTCTGATCAAGTTATGTATATACCTGTGATTAAGGGACAAAAGAATAGAATAAATTTGAACAAAAAGTGAAGCCTTACATTCAGTTTGTCTGGGTCAGAGAGGCCTTTTTTTTTTTTTTTTTTTTTTTTTTTTAAGTGAGGTCTTGTTATGTTGCCCAGGCTGATTTCAAATTCCTGGGCTGAAGCATCACTCCTGCCTCAGCCTCTCAAGGAGCTGAGACTACGGGCACATGCCACTGTGCCTGGCTCAGAGGCATGCTGTATTGTATTGTGAAGTCCTCCAATGTCATTCTGTTTGAAATACCTCTGAAACATTCTTTGGACTTAAAATCATAGACAAGCATCTCACAGACTGATAAAGATTTCTAAATACTAGCTTTTTACGTAGGTTATGTAGTTATTTGCTGTATTAAATAGAAATCATTATGACTAAGTTTCAGTCTCATTAACTAGTAGCATTAAAAACTCAGTATCTTCTGTTTTAGAATGTAGAGGAGAAAGTTGTCATCAGACTCGTTTGTCATATCTTATACAGCCTTGGGTTAAAGGCTGTGAGTGAGTGGTATGCAGAGCAGGACCAGCTGACATCAGCGATGTGCATGGGTACCTCAAGGAAAAATGTATCCTGTTAGAAAATGAGACAGGATTTTCATAGTGTCCCGTATGAACTCCTCCTTGGTCTTGTTTCCAATGGAAAGGGTACCTGAAAACAAGCTAAAAAATCAAAGTCTCTAGGATATTATTTGAGTCTCATATGATAAATATCTAGGAACTGATACCATAGTAGTGCCTGTGGCTGTTCAAGGCATAATAGCTTTGGCTGTATGAATAACATATAACTTAAAAGAGGCTTGATGCTACAATTGGTAGTTCGCTTTTTTTCAACTAAAACACAAACTACTATAATGGCTTTGTTTGTTTGTGCTCCCCAGCCCAGTTTTAGAAATTGTAACAGTAAATACATAATATAACTATAATCTTACTATCCACCAGGGGGAGCCTCAGCACCATTAACACTTCTGGGCATTGCAGTAAAAATATTCAAGCCAGTCTCTTCTATGCACACTACTCTCTTCATAAAGAGGCTCTTCCTCAAGAGTTTACAATCTGAGTGGACAGAGAAGATATACAAAGTTCATCAAGGATACAGATAATACTAACTTACTAAACTGTGCCTACTTTTACATAGTTCTCTTAAGAATGTTTGGAGAAAGATGGTTGTTGGGATGTTAGTCCCTTCTTTTCATAACTCTGAACTCATCTCTTTGATCGTCCATCATCAGTGACCACTTTTTACTTCTCAGTGAAACAGTCCTCTTCCCTAAAGTTATTATTTACTTGGAAAAATTAATATTTAGGGCAAATACTGACCTTGATTTTTGTTATCAACTTTATTAAAGCAGTTGATTTGGAGTTATTTTTCTCTGCATATAAATAATAATAAAACAGTGCTTTTTTTGTACCTGGAAAGTTTATTTTCCTCCTTAACTTTGTAGGTACATGTGTAGTTGTCAGTTTATTTACCTGAATTTTGTTTTAGGAACTAAAGGACAAAAAAAAAAAAAAAAAAAAAAAAAAAAAAAAAAAAAAAAAAAAAAAAAAAAAAAAAAAAAAAAAAAAAAAAAAAAAAAAAAAAAAAAAAAAAAAAAAAAAAAAAAAAAAAAAAAAAAAAAAAAAAAAAAAAAAAAAGAATTAAGAATTTGGTATTTTCCTTTGTACATGATCCTGGTAGGGTATTAGAAAACATAGAATATGCTCTGATAAATTATGTTTGTTGAAACCAGAATGTGAAGAAATTGCCAGGTAATTTGGATGAGGAAAATAATTTGTAAAGTAGCCTTTTATTTGGTTCTTAACACTTTTTGAAGGCCCTAAATATGTATTAAAATGACCAGTTGGAATCCGCTCCAAACTTATAAGAGCCCGAGTGCTTTGAGTACTTGTCCAGAAGCTGAAAAAGAGCACATCTTTCAGAGAGGGAAGTGAATGGGAGCTTTGAGCAGTCTATCCACCCAGGTGTTGGCATTCATATTCTCCAAAAACATAAAAATTGAAAGTCATTCTTAAGAATGCAGTACAGATATTCCACTGGTACATATTTTTCTTACTGCAATTTCATCTCAGGTTTGTTCAGTGTGGAGTCTACTTACTGCACTGTCTTGCTTAAATATTTTTGTTGAGGACAGCCGGAGGCTTTAACTGGATGCCTAATTCTGTTTTCTTAGAAGGCAACATGGATTGTTTTGGGGTATTAGAAGTGCAGGGTCTTTGGGCTTGTTAAGAAGTGGTCTCCTGTGATTCTGGGCCCAAGGTGTGATATACATTTCCTGCTAATTGCTTCTCTTAAAAAGTAAGAGGATAGCTGTTCCTCTTGAGGAAAAACCTTAATAAACCTTTCTATTTTAAACAGTAGTGTGACTCTTGTTTTGAATATTGTTTCCAATTTTTTTTTTTTAAAGCTTAACCGTGTCCAGGTTCTTACATGAATGTTGTAGGGCCTTTCAGGAAGTACATCTTGTGCTTCTGTTGTATACCACACATCATACTGGGGATACAGTGGCTATCCCTTCCTTTGTGGAGTTTTAATTTATAGAAAATAGTAAAAGACCTGTGTGTGTGTGTGTGGTGATGAATGGGAGCTATGAAAGTGTTACTTAGTGCAAGGGGTCAGAGTGCTTGGGTAGTAGTGGGTAAAAGGGAACAAGCTGTTCATTTGAGTAAGCATTTGAAGTGTACAGCCCATGTAACTTCCTTGAAGGGAGCAGGACCTTCCATGTTCCTGCCACATGTAGACATGTGCCTGTCATGTTGGAGGACTAGCCAAGAGCTCAGTATGTCTGAAGCAGAGGGAACAAGGAGGATAATAAGAGTAGATAATGGAGAAGCAGTGGGACTGAATATACGGAAATTTTCTTCAGTGTTTACTCTGACTGGGGTCCTTGGAAAGGACTTAGCAGAAGGTGCCGGACTCAGTCATACTGTTTCATCAGGGATCCTCTTCTAAGTTAAAGATAGCCTAGATAGGGGTGAATATGGAAGCAGAGACTGGTTAGGAAACTGAATCATGATAAATGGTTGCAGTGAAGAGTTTGAATTTAGATATGTTTTGAACATGGAGCCAGCAGGATTTAGTGACACATATGTGTGTAATAGAGACTGGTAAGAGTTAATGCCAAAATGCTGGGACCAATAGTCAAGATTGTGATAGGAGCAAGTGGGAAGGAGCCAGGGAATTCAGTTCTCAACATGCTGATTGTGGGAAGTGTGTCACCTTCTAGAAATTCACTAGTCCAATTCAGGGAAGAAGGAAACAGGAGATTACTTGTAATATTTTAAAATGTGAGACGAGACTAGGTAGGATGGCTAGAGTTGAGGGCAAATGAAGAGATCCCTGAGATGCTCTGCAGAGGTTGGGAGATGAAAAGGAATTAGAAAAGCACCCCATGTGTTGGTGCACACCAGTAATCCCAGCTACTTGGGAGATGGAGGAAGAAGGATTGGAAATTTGAGCCCAACCTAGGCAGCTTGTTAAGATTCTGTCTCAGAAGAGGGTTGGAGATGTAACTCAGTGCAAAGGCCTTGAGTTTAATCCTCAGT